TATATAAACAAAACACAGAACAAAAAAATAAAATAAAAAGGTTTGGACAAGCATAGCTACGCTCTACCCAAGCTCGGATCAAATATATATTTACTTTTTATTTGATTTTCCAATACTTTTGGTTTATAAATAATGTTTACCATTCTGCTTGAAACATAAACATATCTATTTGTATAGATCTACTCTACGACTGTAACTAAAACTTCTGCTGTACTATTCAAAGATTTTATTTTCAGATCATTTAATTGCTTTCTTATAGTTTTTTTTTTATGCTTTTTACAATTAGTGTTTATTCTACGTATTTACACAAATTACATAAATAGAGTTGAGGTACGTGTGATTACTATTATTATTATTTTTTGTTAGTTCTAGTTTTGGGTTTAGAAGTACGGTTAGTAGCTGATATTAAATGTGTGCTTATTATTATTATTATTATTATTTTTTTTAATATTATATTTGTTTGTGTTTGTGTACGTATGCATGTGTATGTGTGTGTATGTGTGGTTTAATGAAATTTTGCAAACACAAAAAGAAGGAGAATTTGAATGCGGTTAGAGTAGAAAGAAAATATATTTAGTGTTAGAAATTTGACAATTTTGTGCAATACCTCCCGAATCCGAAGTCGATCTGTCTTTTTTACGCTTTTTCTTTTTTGAAACGTAACCGTAGTTATCTCTAGCGCTCCAACCTGGATACAATTCCATATGTAATTGGCGCTCTTGTCGCGCTTTTTCATAATATTTGCTTTGTTCTTCGCGGGAAAGTTCGTGCCACTACAAAAATGTATTCCATTAATGTTAAAATTTAATTTCATGTTCTACTTCTCTTGATATGTATTATTCAATGTGTTTAATCTGTGATATTATAAATGGACAGTCAGTTAAGTAAATATATATATCGAAATACATAGTCAATTCTAAACATAATACAATCAGTCAGTGAATTAGTCAGTGAGTGTACTTATCATTCAATGATAAAATATCCGTAAGGATTTCGCAGTATTCCAAGTATCTATAAATCTATTTATAAACGTCTATACAATACTCTCAGAAGTCGAATTACATTCGTGTATTGTTATGTATACAAATACAAATGATGATATTTTGAGTATTGTTTATAATTATTATTATTATTATTTAGAATTTAGAATAAACCCCCATAACGCTGCATTTATCTATTAAACTTTGAATGTATTATCA